TCCAGATGTGGGCCGGATCTGGGCCGACACTATGTTGCCGTCTGGGTTCTTTTGGGAAATTGGCCCCAGAACGTTCCCTGTTAGCCGGAATGAGCCCAAAGCCATCGGGGAAGCTGTCGCTCATCTATCCGTGATCTCACTAGGAGAGCCGCTGATGAAGCGACTGTAACAGCTGTAAGTGTGTGTGTAACAGCTGTAAGTGTGTGTGCATCTGCTGCGCTGACAGACGAACACATGTAAACAAACGCTGATTTGAGAGACGAGCTGCTGGAGTTACACAGCCCGTAACGTTCACAACGCCATCTCATCCCTCAGTAAGGAGAAAACCAGGAGGAAAAACAGCTTGGTGCCGTTAAATATGCAATGGCAGACTGCCACTGACAGACACTGAAATCAAACTCACACAAACGGTGCGAAATATAATGCTTCTTCTGTAAAGACTAATTTTCCAAAGGCAGAATCAGACAAACTTTTTTTTCACCCGTTTTAAAATGAGATGCTTAATTCAGTTGTGCTCTGCTCGTCTCATTCCCGGATAAACGGATTCCCACTAAATATAACGTCTGGAGGCGGCAGAAAAGGTTTTAGTTTGATAAATGATTTTACTATGAAACAGCGGCCACACGCCCCCAGTTAGAGGCTCATTTACACAGTAAAATCAGTGAAGACGACAGGCAGAAGCAAACCCAAATGAGTTCTGTTAGGACGGGTCTCGGCTGCCAGACTGCCACTAATCCGCAGGATAAACAGCGGGAACAATTCCGGAAAACCCGTGCCGCAGCTGAGAAGACTGATTACCGGCGGAGAGAATCAAGCGTTCTGGAAACACAAAAGAGAGATGAAGAGCTTTAGCCAGATGGAGCAGAACTCGAACCTGAGGGCCAAACGCAACCGCTCATCCTCAAGGTCAAACCTGCGCTTCTTTCTTAGTGCGTCTAAACACACAAATCTGACAAGACTGACAAGAAAAAGAAACGTTGAAAACCAAAGGAAGCTCCAGCTAACAAAAATATGTTCACATTAATCTATTAAAATGTGATTTCTAAACGTTCTCCGAACGGTTAAAACATTTAGTTATTAAAATGTTATGGGAACATTTCATTTGATCATTTTGCAAACATGAACAATCTAAAATTAGTAACATTTTTAAAAACGTTTCAAGAAAAAATGTTAACGAAAAGATCAACTTTGAATGAAGTTGCAAGTCCCTATGTTGCAAATCCAGCTTGTTTATGTGTCTATGTGGTGTTTAATACGCTTTAAGACACACCATGTGTAAGTTCATAAGTCGACAGCATTGCTGAGTATTTTCTGCTTAAAACTGCAGTGAACCAAAGACAGTCTCAAAAACACGGTTTGAAATCGCTGGTGTTTCTGACGTCACAAACGACCTTGTAACCAATCAGATCAACGTGTGATCGTCAACCAGTGGATCTCTGAGCTGAGGGAGTGAGTGGAGGCGGGGCTCATTCGCATATTCATAGAACCGCATTCTAAATGAGGCAAGGGTGTCGAGTTACATTCAAGATATTATAAAGCATGAAGGAAAAAAACGTTTAAATATGTCATTCATGTGATGAAAGACGAGTTTGCGTTAAGTTTGGGATCATAAAACGAAGAGCCTCCACTAAAAGCGACAGTGTTTTTGGCTTCATTTTAAGTGCAGAGGAACACAAACTCTCAGTATTCATCATAAAGCCCAGTCGTGTTTGTTCTTTGTTCCTCTGAATAAATCAGCGCTTCGCCTCAGAAACCACATGAAGAAGAGTTTAGAGCCGCTGTGTTCATCACATCCTCATCGACTCCGTGTGGAGCAGAAAACAGTGTCAATCACCGGCTGTGCGGATGAGCGCGGACATTGTTCTGTTTTCCCGCCATTCTTCCGAAGCGCTTTGATGTGCGCAGCGACTGATGGTCCAGATGGGGCTCGGGAACGGCGTAAACACGGCCAGCAGGAGAACAAGCCTTAATTAAAAAAACATGTATTAATCTGGGCAGCGTAATGAAAAAAAGATTAACGTTGATATTATTGAACCCCTGCAGGGTCAAAGGGCACATAATCAACATCTCTAATGTCATTTTCACTACAATCCCTGAAACATGACAGACACTCACAGATTCAGAGAAATAAATGTAGGTGAAACAACTGGGTCGAATACATCTTTATCTGGATTAAATTCACCTTGAAATATTGCAGTGTTTATTCTAAATTATGTATGGGTGCACATTATTGTTTTAGTAATCGTGAATCAGAATCACTTTCTCTTGCAGCTTCTCTTCTCTAAGGATGAGGGCGGGGCTATAACCTGTCAATCACATGAGATCAGCCAATAGCAAACCACAACCGACACAATCAAGCCCCGCCCACATCTGTTCTTGTTCCCAAAGCCCTTTCACTCGGATATACGGCACAATAGGGAAACAATCTCAGGCTAGTTGAGCATAATACACAGCCACAAAACCTAATTGCCATCTTTCACAATTAACCATGTCTGCAAATGACTTGCTTACTCACTCATAAATGAATAAATAAATAAATAAATAAACACTCGAAATACAGGGGTCCATGGAAAAGTCTATAGAAAAACTGTAAAAAAAAATAAACAATAAAAAATTACAAAATTTATATTAAAATAAGTAAATAAATTATATATATAAATAAATCAAAATTAATAAATAAAGTGCTTACATGTTAATAGAACCATAAGAAATAGAACCATAAAAAAGTAAATAAATAAATATTAAAATAAGCAATTAAATTAGATCAAAATTCAATAAATAAGTGCTTTAAATGTTAAATTAAAATAGGATAAACATGTAAAAAAATCTAATAAATTAAATTAAAATAAAATGCTAATGTCTAGTGAAAAACGGTAAAAATATATTAAAATAAGTAAATTTGATTCAAATAACGTGGAAAAGTCAAGAGAAAAGTTTTTAAAAAAAGGTACAAATATATTAGAAAAGTAAATAAATTCGATTAAAATAAATAAATGTGATTTTAAAAAAAAAAATCTAGAAAACTAAAAAAAAAAAGATAAAAGTAAATACATTCTATAAAAAAAAAAAAAAAAAAAAAAAAAATACACATTATATACAAAATATATAATAATGCAACTTAATTAAAAAATTTATATTGTATATCTAAAATTAGTTTTGTGTATAAATTGGGTGTTTGATGCGGTTGAAACGTTAGGATGATCATATTTTGGGCTCCATGGATCTAAAAGATGGAAAAGCCCTGAACTACAGGACCATCCGAGACACACTGTGCGAGGACGTGTTGAACTTCGTAGGGGAACTTATTTTAATTACATAAATAAATAAAATGCATATAGTCTAAGATGGGGGATAACAGACAAGCCTGACTGAGAGGTCTCTGAGGAACACCATCAGCTCCAGTTCAGTCCAACACTTCAGGAGAAACTACATCTAATGGAGTCGGAGAACTCAGAAGCAGAGGAAGATGAGCTCAATGAAATGATAAACGACTGACTGATTCTTAGCGAAGCTGAACACTAGCATCTGTGTGAGTCGAGATGTTCACAGTCAAACCAAACACTCCAACATCGCTAATGGTAATAAAATATGACCAGAAATATGATATT